TAAATCATACAAATCATATGGAGAGAGATCTTTCTCATATCTTGGTCCATTTATGTGGAACAGATTACCCATGAAACTAAGACAAATAAGAACACTTGATAGCTTCAAAAGACATCTTAAACATTTTCTGTTCCTACAGGCCTATCCTTCATAAGCTTTTAACGTTAGCTTTCATTATATTTGTTCTTTTCCTATGTCTGGATGAAAATAGTCTCTCTCTGTGTGTGTGTGTGTGTGTGTGTGTGTGTGTGTGTGTGTGTGTGTGTGTGTGTGTGTATGTGTGTGTGTGTGTGTGTGCATTAATGTATATTGCGTGAGAAGAAAGGAAGTAGTAAGAAAGGTTTTTGAAAAATGGGTATTCCAATGTAAAGCGCATTGAGCTACTTTTTTTGGAAATGCGCTCTATAAATGTTATATATTATTATTATTATTATTATTACATGTATTATTATTAATTATTATAAAAATGCGAATAGCAGAAACTCCTTCATAACTTCTTTCTAATTAACTTTTCAATGCTGAAGTTTAGTTACAGTTCCGGTGGAACATCAACAAAGCTGCTGCAAGCAAGTGCCTCCATACGGTCACGAAGTTCTTGCTGATTGATGTAAAACACAGACCAGACAGACATCCTTTTTATCGTCCCAGTTTTGTTTCTCTTCCATATCTGAACGTTGTAGGGGACTTTTACCTAGCAAAAATGGATAATGATGGTACGTAATATAGAAAAAATAGATCGGGAGTAGAACACACTAAGTCAGACTAAGAGTCAGTTTCGATGGCCCTCCCCACCCGGCTTCCCCTCACTTCAAGAAGGGAAGGACTTCCGTAACGAGCGACCACCCCATCAAACACAATAAAGAAGAGGCCTAGACCTCAAGATTTTCTGTCTTTGCTTTCCTGTTTCTAAGAAGGAAGTGGCTATTCTCATCCGGGGTGAGAATAGAAAAACGATCTACCTCTCACCCCGGGTGAGGCTTGCCAGCGTAGGCTATTCTCACCTGGTGCGAAACAAGACCTGCTTTTCCTCATTTTGGAATACTGTCTATCGGTGTGGATGATCAAATTGATAAAAGCCAAGAAAAAATTACGTTATAGCACAAAAATAAGCTAATTTGATCGTCTTCAAAGATGCTATGGCTATTTCACTGTTCGAATCGAGCCGAACTACGCGGGTCGCCATTTTGTTTTGCCCGGAAGTTCTCGCAAGATCTACTCCTCCCCTCTCTCTCTCTCTGTCTCTTTCTGAATACTGTCTATCGGCGTGGATGATCAAATTGACCAAAACAAAGTTTAAAAAATGATGTTAAAACACAAAAGTAAATTAATTTGGTTGTCTACAAAGATGCTACGGCTATTTAACTTTTCGAATCGAGCAGAACTACGCGGGTCGCCATTTTGTTTTTCCCGGAAGTTCTCGCGCTACTCCTCTCTCTCTCTCTCTCTCTTTCTCTCTCTCTCTCTCTCTCTCTCTCCACTGCCCACAGACAAAATTGTACGCTTTTAGTAGGCTACAGTTGTAATGGAACGTTTGTTCACGGCACAGAATTCTACAATTTTTCTGTTATCACAGTGTAGAATTCTGTGGTTTAGGGTGAACGCAAAATTTGTTGGCCTAGATCTAGGCTATAACGGTGAACGCGCACGGGGTGAGAATAGCCAAAAGACTCGCCTGCACTATTCTCATCCCGGGTGAGAATAGAGGTAGCCTTCTAAGAAAACTGTTCAGCACTTTTTCGGTAGTTCCCACCCCGCAATTGTTATTCACGGGATTTGGCCCCAAGAGTAGGGGGGTTTCAGGGGGGCTTGCCCCCCTGACCTAACAAAAATAGGAAGGGGGATTTCAGGGGGGCACGCCCCCCTGAATTTTACCACAATTTAATGTTTTGCTGTTGTTAGGTTTGATATCTTAGCTAACCGCAAATCAAACGTATAGATCTAGATCTAGAAGTAGGTCAGGCTCAAATAAGGGGGGTGGGAACTACCGAAAAAGCACCCAAGTTGTAAGGATAGTAATGTTATGAGATGAATAATTTTCGTGATGGGAGTGTATACAGACCCGGTAACCGGGAACAGAGTCACAAAGTATACAGACCCGGTAGGGGAACTCTTTTGAGATTTCGGGAAGTTTCAGCGCCCAGACCCGGTAGTGTGTGTGTTTGTGTGAGAGAGAGAGAGAGTGAGAGCTGGGGGAAGTGCTTGCAAAATGTATATGGGTCATTCCACCAGTACTGTTTACTAAAAGTAACATTCAAGTTCAAAATTCAAAGTCAAATTTTAATACTTTTCTATAGCAGGTCATAAAGAGAAATGTCTCATTGGTCACTCCTGAAAATTGTAGACCTCTTTGATAATTAGGTTTGACACAGTTACGCCCGAAATTTTGCTTTTCAAGTTGGTGAGGATTGTTACAAACACAAACATTGACAACAATAACAAAATATTCAGACAAAATCAAATTGATTTGTTCTTGTGCTCATGTTTTATTTACCAGAAGACACAAAACCACTTGAAAGATTTTGACTTAAAGACAACACTGTTTAAGAAAATTGCATAAAATGGTGAGGAACGTTACAGGAAAAATGTCAGAAAAATTGACAGTCGCCATTATTAGTTTCTTCATCAAAGTACACATAGATGAAAGATAGTGTCATCACTTTATAAAAATATAAACATTGAGAAATCATAAGAAAGACAAAAACATATTCAAAATGGCAAATCATGAGGAAGGCAACACATTTTGGTGAAATGGTGAGGAACGTTACTGGACAAAATACGGCATACAATATTTCACTAGAACTTCTTTGTATCAAACTTAAAAGCATTATTTCTTTACAAGAAAGTTATTTGTTAAGCAAATGCAGTAAATGGACACAGTATTTTTGAAAAGAATAAACAAGAACGGAGGAAAAAGAGATATATTGAAAATCGAAAGTGAGGATTGTTACAATCAGGTCCTACAATAAACATACTGGTCTCCGCTGCCTTTTGAGTTTGACTGACAGGAGTT